CGATTTTAATAGTCACCCAATTTGTCGTTTTAACCAAAACAATTTCGAGTTGGAACAATCAGAAAATGCGCCTGAATCTATTCCCTCGACATTTTCTAATATTTCAATTTGCGGGAGTGAGCTACACCCAGAAAAACACGACTCCCCAATATTTATTAAATACTGTGGTAATTCAACTTCACTAAGTTTTGAACACCCACAAAATGTCGTGTTTTCTAGTTTTGTAATAAACTTGGGTAACACTATTTGTTCAAGTGAGGAACACCAATTGAATGCGTCTTTCCCGATGAAAATGACATTATGGGGTATAGAAATGTTCGAGATGTTACAACATCCATAAAAGCATGCGGCACCAAGACGAGTTACTGTTGAACAAAGAGAAACAGATGAAAGAGCAAAACATCCACGAAAACACCCATCACTAATCGAAGTCACTAGAGGTGGAATCGAGACAATTTCTTTGGAATAATACCATTCACTACGTATTCAACAAATGAATATGTAACATGTTCTGGTAATGCGTTTGGAAGACTGGAATGTATAACTTTATAATGGACAATTTTTTGAAAGAAAGCTTTTTCTGGGAAAAAATCATCACAAGGAGAATATAAATGAATTGTTTCTACATTTGAAAATAACGCTAAATTATTTTCTGAAACAGAAATTGGGTAAAATGGAAATTTTTTGTAAAGTTATAATACTTTTTACACACCATTTCCAAATTCAAAAAGTCGTTTGAAGTTTTAAAGTACTTCGCAACAATTAAAATATGAAAACATTCAATATGTATCATCGTTTGAAATCTTAGTTTATTTTTTAAAAATACTGATTATAATTTATAATATTTTTAGATGAAAAAAGATTACGAATTTATTTTGAAACTTTGAAAAACTGGTCGAAAACTCAAGTTTAAATATAAAAATAACACAAAAAACAACAAACGTATATACAGTAATAACATACCACTAAATTTGATTGGTTCGGATTGGACTTTTGAATGTTTCAATGTTGATGGTATTACAATACTATTCGGTGGTGCATCGATCTATGATCACTATTTTTGTATGTGTAAAAGCGTAATAATTCAATTCAATGTAAATCATTTTCTAGAGATTGTTTTAAAAAATTAAAAATTGTAATATATTATTTAATTTAATATCACATCAATAAATTGTTGTTAATTTTGTTGGCAGCATTCTGATTTGTGTTTATTATAATATCATTGAATGTTACATAATATTATAAAACGAAAAATTTCACATTATAGTTTATTATAATTGATTAAAATAATTTAATCCAAAATACAAAGAGATTTCAAAAAATAATATCTCTTAAATGAGTAGAGTCAGTCTAACAGCGTTGTCTGTTCCCCAAACGTTGTCTTTTTGACAAAAAATAATTGATTTTTGTTTCAAAAAAACGGGAATTAAATAAAAAAGAAAAAAATTAGGAAAAATATTAAAACTACAATTTTGGGGTTTTTCAAAAAAATTCCCGAAATATTCCATTTATAATGGTCTAAAAATCGGCAGACAACTTTACAAACAAGACAACGTTTAGCAAATAACTCTAGATTATTTAAACTTAATTAATGATAAGGTTGAATTCGTTATAAAACAGTAATTATAATTAATTGGCTAAAATTGCCCAATAAAATATACAATAATTTGAAAAAAAACAGATAAAAAAATAAATAAAAATATAAAATTGAATTTTTAAACTCAATTGTTTATGTATTAAAAAAAATAAATAAAATATATTGATTTTTTGAATAAATTTTTAAAATATTAATAATATATTAAAATTAATATTGTTATAGATAAAATATTATATTTTAAAATTTATATTAATGTTAAAATTTTCATCTTTACTATTGCTGTGTTTGTATTTTTTTCTTACTTTTTACTCATATTTTCTCTTAAACATTAATTTTGATTGTTTTTTAATTGAATTCAATTTTTTTGTTGA